GTTAAAGGGTATCTATTCACCTGTAGAAATTTAGCCTCCCTTTTTCCATGGTGTTCCAAGTCTTACCTTCTTCATCAAGTCCACCGATTATGTTGTACACATAGTAAGGAAAGAAGCGTCGAGAATACAGAATTGTAGACAGCATTGCTGCAATAGCCCCAGTAGTCATGGTCTTGTTATTGGAATGCTTGTACATCTGCAAATGGCACAGCACATCCAAGCAGAAAGTGATACGCTGAATTTTATGCTCAAAATAATCAGAGCCCTATTTGCTGCAGTCTCATCACAAAATAATTTAATGCTAAGCAGGATTATTAACTAGAATACATCTACAAGATTACTGAAAATATACTTGTCTAAATGCAAAGTCTCCTTACAAGCCAAACTTATTCTTTGTAAAACTTCAGAGAAATTTTAGATTTTGCCTGGTTAACATTATCCCCTCTGACTCTTCACTTTTTCAAAGCTGAATTTGTGACATTACATTTAGTAAGAACGCAGCAATCTCCCCTGCTTGATCTTTGCTTAGCAATACAGCTATAATTATGATACAAATGCTTGAGGAAAAACAGCAAAGTTGATATTTAAATATATTATTGGTCTCCTCTGATGTGAGGTTATATCAGTTTCTAAATACATTAAGACACTTATCTACCTTTAATCTTGCTTCAATAATTTTAGTAAGCGTAAGGCAGTCGCCATGGAAACCACTGCATGCAATGATCGTTTGTTCTGTCCTGTAAAATGTAAAGTTTCATTGTGATTTTAGGTTTAGTACAAACTACACTTTTTTTTTTGAAACATAGGATATTATTATGAAAACATCAGGTGTATTTTCCAGTTTCTCTAACACTATCAGGCACAGTTTTCTATGAGTGAAGTACTTGTTACTATATTTTAGAAGGGAACTGCAAAGGCCTCATTAAGGGCAGAACTACGTGGATATCATTCATTAATACACTGACGTCAGCAGCAAGACTGACAAAAAGAAATTCACACTTTTTTCCTGCACTCCTAACCCCAGCTAATACCATTCGGTCTTGCCCGGGGAACTGTTCTGAGGTGGGGAGCCCACCATGCAAGATCAATAAACCCAGTTTTACAGCATCTGGCCAGAGGATTGCACTAGTATTTTAAAACAGTAATGTGAGTGTTACGTTTTGTGCAATTTTCTGTATCGAGACAAGAGAGAATATCTGGATGCAGAGGCATGGTAGATTAGTCAGCTTTCATGAAACGTTTTGAGATTGTGCAAAGAGCTACAGGAACATACACTTGAATTTTAAATTGTAATAGAATAGTGAGAGTATATAACCATTCAAACTATTCATACGATTAACAGAGTCATTTACAAACAATCTAAATTGAAATCTCTCAGTCTGTCAGTAGCATTACCCAAAACCACCCATCACGTGGGGTGTACAAGTTGTACCAAAGTAATTTCCAAAGCAAGTCAGTATCAGAGTCGAAGATATAGTAAGGAGGTAGCCTGGAGAAACATGAGTTTATACGAATTTGTGCCAACATCAAGAAGTTTAATTACACAGCTGACGGCAGCTACATTTAAAAGGAAGTAAACAATACATATTTCTAAACCAAGGCAATGATACCTAGGCAAGATGAGCATAAGTAATTCAATAATGGAACCACTGACCAGTTTACCTCTCCTAAAATAAATAGCTCTTTGAAGTGCCGATGGCTGACTAGAGGGACAGAGTACAACTGGTATGCTGAAAGCAGTGTGTACCGACAGTGTACCGACACCAGGTGTTCCAAGGAAGCAGAACTGTTTACTACAGGAATAAGTTTTACTACAGTTAAGAAGAAATTTCCTATGATTATCCAGCCAAAAAAGCATTTAGCTAGCATTACAGATGAAGTTTGGTACTGTACTAAAAAAGTTCTGTTATCAGCTAAATTCAAGAGCATGCAACAAGAAATCCAGTCATATTTACGGTATCACAAAAGAGTCCCCTTAATAACAAAATCAACTCTGTTACTCAGTATCCTTTTTTTCTGAAAATTATGCTTAAAGAAAACGCTAGTTCTTTTCAATATCCAAGACCTTTCATCATTTTCAGTTCAGACTTACAGTTTGTAGCATTTTGGACTGTCCCGGCTGTGAATTGCATAGCCCTCACTCAGTCGCGTGTCAGAGGCAACGATAGAAAAATCTTCTCCTGCAATTGCCAGCACAGTTCTGAAAGGAGAGTATTTGTATAATCATGATTTCTAGCACAAGTATTTTTTTACTTGACAGAGGAACCGACAAGACAGTAGTTCTCTATCCAGACTCAAGTTTTGTCAAGCATCTTATTATATTCCTTGATATGCTTCCTATTACACATTTCCCTATGCGGAAACCAAACCTGGCGAAAAAGAGATAGAGGCATAATGAACAGAATACATGTTGTTTTCTGCTTTGTTAACAGACTAAGTAAACTTGTTAGTGACTGATTTTGTATACAGCACAAAAACAACAGCCCAACGGATTAACGTTTTTAGATGCCTGACGATGAGAAAAGATTCAGCTCCCCAAAAGGATTTGTCTCTCCAAGCAAAAAAAGTCCAGCCAAGTGTAAGCAATCAAATCATCACGCTTAGATAACAACATTATTTTAGTCTGACATTTTCCTACGTTATTTGTTCTCAAATAACTAGCTGTATGTGAGCGACTGTTAAATAGCAAACAGGTATTCCTTAAGAAGCAGTTCGGCATTAAGAAAAAAATTAAATACCATGCTGGCCAGAGCCTGACGCCACCTTAGGGCGGGTGTCAGGAAAACATCACCAGGTAGCTATCAACGCAGTTACAGATTTAAAAGCAGGTAACGGGACCATCACACAGCTTTCCTAAGCCATTGCAAAGGAACAACCCTATCGAGAAGGGAAAGTGCTTACTTTGACCCGTAACGCTCAGGGAGCCCGAGCATAACAACAGCCTCAGAGAATAACGTCAGAAACACAAAGAGGACCCCGCGGGACACTCGGGGGTACCCCGGCCCTGCCCCCTTTCTCCATGGAGAAGCGCTCACAGCGGGAGACAAACCCTCGCGCAGGGCCGGGGGCGGCAGCAGGGAGACCAACCCCGCCGCCGCCCTCCG